GTAGGAGTAGGAGTAGGAGTAGGAGTAGGAGTAGGAGTAGGAGTAGGAGTAGAGCAGTAGTAGTAGTAGTAGTAGTAGTAGTAGCAGTAGTAGTAGTAGTAGCAGTAGTAGTAGAAGTAGTAGTAGCAGTAGCAGTAGTAGTAGTAGTAGCAGCAGCAGCAGCAGCAGCAGTAGCAGTAGCAGTAGCAGCAGCGGTAGCAGCAGCAGGTAGTAGCCTAAACGGGCAACAGTAGCCGTAGTAGCAGGAGGAGGGAGCAGCAGTAGCAGCAGCAGCGGCAGAGAAGAGCTGATAGCGCACGACATATCGGAGTTGAAAATTTACCTGCAAGATTGAGCAACATCAATTCTTGAGATGATCCATGACCACATCTTAGAAGATGCTAGTGACTAGAGGCAATCCCTTCCTTCCCTCGCTCCCTGTGCAAGCCTTGCAAGTTGGAGCCCTGAACTCGGACCAGAATCTCCACACCGGCATGTCAAACCTCTACACTGCAGATATGAGCCTTGGAACCAGCTGCCTTCGTATGAACTTCCGTCAGCCCACACCTTGGCTAAAAGGGGTTTAGTCAGTTTAGTCACGGTTTAGTACTGGGAAACACAAGGGGCCCTGCTTCAAACTTCGCCTAGGGTCTTGTAATCTGTCGATAAATCTAAATCAGTATATATAACAAAGCACGACAAAGGACAGAGCTGCACCAAGCACAAAACACCTTTTCACCACGGAAAAAATGAAGGTACCAACATATCTGTCTTTATGCAAATGTCGTGTTGACATAATGAGCCTCGCTTGCTGTCGGACCAGCCGCGCATCGCTGATTTGGCTGTTGTAAAATGGATGCCGAACCTATAGCTACCCGGGATTCCCTGCAGCCGAAGCACAAAACGGCCTTGACCATGCATCCTCCCTTGCTCGAAGTTCCCTTCGTAGGAACTGCCATCGCTCCTCGCTTGAAACCATGCTCTTAAGAAGCCCTTGTACTAGTTGAGTAAATCGCATGGGGTTTAGGGGTACATGCTACTACAACGGGACATCATTCAATTTTTACTGCTTCTTCCGACCTCTGTAGCTTGTTGCTTAGGGTTGAGACCCCAACAATGTTGAAAGCATTCACGACCAGCATGTGAAGCCCTAGGGCTCCAGTTACCTAAATAGTGGGTTACTAACCATATATTATGCACCCCAGTAACCTATTAGTTAGGTAACTGGAGCCCCAGAGTAGTGGTCTTTGCAACTGAAGGCTGTGTGCAGCCAGGACTCCAACGATACCTGCCTTCACCGCAGGGTACATCTTCCTCCCAGGCGCCTGCAAAAAGCAGAGGGTCAGATGAGAAGAGGGATCTCAATCAAGTTGATGCAGCCGAAAAAGACCACAACATTTCTCAGCTTATTTGCGCTGTCTGGTGTCGCTTGCCAAACTGCTTCCCGCCCAAGTCCTTCGTAGATGCTGACGACCAGGGTCTCGAACGCAGGTCGCTGATTGGGCCCCAAGCCCATCGGCGTCACAGCCGTCATGATCTGGCAAAAACACAGGTGATGGACTAAGATGGTGTTTAGCTAACTTCGACGGTTGTGCTTCGTTCCGCTGTTATCGGTGCATCAAACTTGCAGGCTGCTCCATGGATGCACTGACCTGCACTGACCTGCTGCCATATCAACATGCAAGTGCACCCTTCTTTCTTGCTGCTGTGAACTGGCTTAGAGGCTTAGAGAAGCTCTGCCTGCTGCCCCTTGCCATGTCGGATCCATCGGCCCTTGCGCTGTTTGTAGCCTGCCTGCGGCCGAGATGGCGGGTGCTGAAATCTTTTTGGAGTGCTTTTGCTACTGACGATTTCGAGTCTGCATTGCTGCATTCTACAGGAAAGTAGCAGCCTGCACAATAGCTGCCGTACTGCACTGTTCCCGTTCTTGCCTTTACTTCGCCATAGAAGAGCTGTCCAGGAGCTCGTAGACACCTGGGCTTCACATGCATTCCATACTGACTTATCAATATCGTGGGAGTTCCATGGATTCATCGGTCTCCACTGCAGCTACAGCTGCACGAGTCCTTCCTGCCTCGCTGCTATGAAAGATATGGCACTCGTGGAGGCAATTCCAAGACCGCTCATCTCGTCACGGCACTTTGTCAAAATCTCGGGCTCTTCTGGCTCATCCTGCACTACGCCGCGAAGTTCAGAGACGAGTCTATTCCAAGGGGTTTTTGACAACCTTCATTCGGAACATCTGTACTGAAATCACAAGTTTGCTGGGTCCCCCCCACATTCAACACAACGAAGCGGATACGCCATTCTTTTGAACGCTCATGTTTCCCTCGCAGGCCACTCAGCGCAGAAAAGCTTGCAGTCCTCTGACTCCTGCACCACGACCTCCTCCTCGCCGCAGACACGATGTCACAGCACGCAAGCACTACATGCTGGTGCATGACTTCAGCTCCTCCACCTTTGGCTGCTGTTTCTTCGGCGCCATGCAGTTTCCGGCACCTCACGGCTTGTGCATGGACAAAAATTGACAGGCGTGACCCATTCTCTGACAGGTGTAAGACCTGACTGACACCCAAGTCCATTACAGTTAGTTCTACGGGCGTTTGCTGTATCCGAGAGCTGCCTTGATCAATTAAGCACAGGACGGACTCAGGCAGAAAACCGAGAACCACCCAAGTCTCTAGTTCACTTAGGTACCCAAGGAATAAAACACAACACAACAGCAAGGTAGTGCAGTCAGCAACTTGTTCGATGAACGTCGTTACACTCATGTTAAACGAAGAAGCCAGGGCACTTCGCCAGCAGCTTGGAGGTGAAGCGTCCGGCTGGAATAGGCCCGCGCCAATGCCGAGTTGGAGCCAGGAGCCAATCAAGCAGAACAAGCTAAGGAGTCAAACAAAGCTTGTTTTAAAAGCAGCAAAATGTCGAGTGTGGTTGTTGCATATGTCTACATGGTCTGGGCCGGGGCTTCTTTGCCTCTTCTTTGGGCTGTCGCCAATCACTGCATGGAAACAGCTGCTGCGATCGCGCTTGCCTCTCCAACGACTTGCTGGTACATGATCATTGCTGTGCTACACCTGTGTCAGCTAAGCACTGGGCGTAGCTGTAAACTGTAAACAACGGCGTCATGCTTTGTGCCTCTCGCACGGGCTCGGGTGCCGGCAACTTGGCCAAGTCCTCCGCCAGCAGTTGGAAACAAGAAACCCGCGAGCGACAAGAAATCGAAATCCCACCATGTTGAGTCTTCTGTAGCCGTAGTAATCAGTAGTAGTCGTCGTCGTCGTCGTAGTAGTAGTAGTAGCAGCAGCAGTAGCAATAGTAGCAGCAGGAGTAGCAGTAGCAGGAGTAGCAGGAGTAGCAGTA